TGGTGGTGTATAGAGACAAAAATGTTACAATTGTGTCGATGTCACAATATTTATGGACCTGACTGTATATACTTTTTTTTTTTTTCATTTTTATTTATTTTTTTAAATATTTAAACGCCTCTAGTGTTACGGAGGAGGTCTGGTGCTAGGATTTGCAAAGTCTTCTGCATTACCGTTTGGAGTGAAAATAGGATCCTCTTCTGAGTTATTCCTGACGTAGTGTCAATCTGTTGCAAGGCATTTTTTTTAATATATAACATGAAGTTATATTGAGGAATGGAGATGGACCTTCCATATGGTGTCCAGTATCTCCTCATTTGTTGGGAACATGACTTTATATTGAGGAATCGAGATGGACCTTTCATATGGTGTCCAGTATCTCCTCCTCATTTGTTGAGAACATGAAGTTATATTGAGAATGGAGATGGACCTTTCATATGGTGTCCAGTATCTCCTCCTCATTTGTTGGGAACATGACGTTATATTAACCTCCCTAGCGGTTTTCCCGAGTGTAGCTCGGGGTAAAATTTTGAGTACCAAGAGCGGTAACCCCAAGCTACACTCGGGCTTACCATGCGGCATTGCTCAGGGAGTCCCAGCAGCACTTACCTTGTCCTTCGCTCCTGCGATGTGTCCCCTGCAGTGTCCCCGGCTATCTCCTCCGGCCGATGCCGGCATCCGGCTTCCATGTTCCAGTCCCTGTGACGTCGGGACGTACGGGTGCCGGAATCGACGGCAAATTTGAAATTTTTAAAAAATTTCATTTTTGCTGTCATTGCTGTTTCAATGCATTTCACATATATTTTGTCCCTACTGTCCTGTGCCCTGCCTGCATTTTGACTGTTCTTTCTGCCTGGAAACTTAGAAAAGTCCATGGCGTCCAAAAAGCGTCCCTTTACGTCAAAAGCGGTTTTAGACCAGCTAGAGAACAGCGATAGTAAATCAGAATCACTTGCAGAATTGAATGATAATGAATTGTGGGGACATTCGTCATCAGACACTGAAAACGATTTTGCGACTTTGCTCAGTGATGTGCGAATTTGCCTCTGTATTTCAAATTTCAGTGTTTTTGGTTTGATTATATTATTGAATTAAATTTATTATTATTATATTATTATTTTTTATGATTATTTATTAAATTATAATTTATGATTTCGTGTTTCAAGTTTTATCATATCCGGAATATTTACTAGACTCTTGTTCGTACAGATTTCAATGAGTTATTCCTAAAAATTACAGCCTACAATAAAAAACTACATATTTCCATGCAAAAAAATGGTACCGCTTTCAGCACAAAAAATCGGAAAGAATCATACCGCCGAGGAGGTTAAGGAATAGAGATGGACCTTTCATATGGTGTCCAGTATCTCCTCATTTGTTGGGAATGTGACGTTATATTAAGGAATAGAGATGGACCTTTCATATGGTGTACAGTATCTCCTCATTTGTTGGGAACATGACGTTATATTGAGGAATGGAGATGGACCTTTCATATGGTGTCCAGTATCTCCTCCTCATTTGTTGGGAACATGATGTTATATTGGGGAATGGAGATGGACCTTTCATATGGTGTACAGTATCTCCTCATTTGTTGGAAACATGACGTTATATTGAGGAATGGAGATTGACCTTTCATATGGTGTCCAGTATCTCCTCATGTCAGAGCCTGGGTCCAAACTTGGGCCTTCTGGGGTGAGGGGCAATGTTTCTTCTTGCTGAGCCACCTGGAATGCTGAACAGCTCCCTTGACAATTATTTTTGGATGATCCTACCTTGACCTTGTTTATCTTGAACCCCTTGCTTCTCCCATGAACTTCCTGATAAAAGCCATGTCTCTGCATTTCCTGTTTGCCAGATTATTGTGCCTTCTCCAGCCAGTATCTCACTTTGTCTCTCCTGCTGCCGTCCATACCTTCGCTACCGACCTTTGGCTTGTTCCTTGACTACGATTGTGCCGCATCCCAACCTGCTACCGCTTGTTACCGACCCTTGGCTTGTTTACTGACTACGCTTCTGCTAGATCCCTACCTGCCATATCTGCTACTGGATCCTGGCTTGCTCACTTCCTGGTGGGGTGATCCTGAGAACTGCGACCTGGTACTAACACGCAGCAAAATCCATCTCCACCATCAGGAGAATACCAGTTAGTGCTTAGACCCCGCACCTCAGGAGAGCCTGCGTCATTTCCCAGGGTGACCTGCTTGTTTACCTATCCTGTTGGTTGGTCTGCTGCTATAGCTACTGGTCTCTGAACCTGACCTCACACCGTGACACCTCATTTATTGGGAACATGACAGTATATTGAGGGATGGAGATGGACCTTTCATATGGTGTACAGTATCTCCTCTTCATTTGTTGGGAACATTACATTATATTGAGGAATGGAGATGGACCTTCCATATGCTGTACAGTATCTCCTCCTCATTTGTTGGGTATCTCCTCATTTGTTGGGAACATGACAGTATATTGAGGGATGGAGATGGACCTTTCATATGGTGTACAGTATCTCCTCATTTGTTGGGAACATGACTTTATATTGAGGAATCGAGATGGACCTTTCATATGGCGTACAGTATCTCCTCCTCATTTGTTGGGAACATAACGTTATATTGAGGAATGAAGAATGGCCTTTCATATGGTGTCCAGTATCTCCTCTTCATTTGTTGGGAACATGACGTTATATTGAGGATTGGAGATGGACCTTTCATATGGTGCACAGTATCTCCTCCAGTTGGATAAATGGTTCTATATTTAGGATGTATCCGGTCTATAAACCAGAGGCTCTGGATGGACGGTTGGATAAATGGTTCTATATTTAGGATGTATCCGGTCTATAAACCAGAGGCTCTGGATGGAAGGTTGGATAAATGGTTCTATATTTAGGACGTATCCGGTCTATAAACCAGAGGCTCTGGATGGAAGGTTGGATAAATGGTTCTATATTTAGGACGTATCCGGTCTATAAACCAGAGGCTCCGGATGGACGGTTGGATAAATGGTTCTATATTTAGGACGTATCCGGTCTATAAACCAGAGGCTCTGGATGGACGGTTGGATAAATGGTTCTATATTTAGGATGTATGGGGTCTATAAACCAGAGGCTCTGGAAGGACAGTTGGATAAATGGCTCTATATTTAGGATGTAATCGGTCTCCTCCTAGATTGTAAGCTCGAAAGAGCTGGGCCCTCGAACCCCCCGTGTACTGTTTTGTTACTGTATTGTCTCATGTTCTGTCCCCCACTATAATGTACAGCGCTGAGCAAACCTTTTGGCGCTATATAAATACTGTATAATAATAAACCAGAGATGCTGTGTGGATAACTGGATACATTTCTTGTTACAGTGACTATGGAGGAAGAGAACGGACATTCCAGGCGGGTTACTGGGTGTAAATATAAAATATCTATTACCTGCTGTGCTGCCAGTTTCGATGATGTCTCCTCTCTACTCACTTCCAACGCACCTTTTTACCTGGGACTTCCTGTAAGCACCATACATCACTTCCTGTTGGCATGTGACACCATTTCCTGACTGTGTGTTCCACTGGCAATACATGAGATCACCATCTTGTGGTGACTAATAATAACTGTACTCCACATTATTTTTTTAGCACTTTGACAGTTGCCTTGTGTTGAAAATGAACAATATTTGATTATGTTCAAAAATTCAGAAACATGTCAAAATATAGATTAGAAATATGGACATTGTGACGGAAGCGTAGGCAGGACAGAACGCACAAAGAAGATGGTAAACACAAAACTTTATTGAACTATGGAAGGCACACAATGGGGCAGTTCATGGCTTCTAGGGACACTCACGATAGGCGGTTTCCAGGGAGGTAGGCGGCTTGCAGACACTCAGCAGTAGGCAGCTTCCAGGGATACCTGGGCTCACAGCAGGCGACAGCAGGAGAGGGGCGAACCTTCTCAGCACACAGCAGAGAGGATAATCCGGGCCCCAGAGTATTAGGCAGGGTATCGTGGGGCCCACAGCAAAGCAGTTCTAGCACACAGCACAGTGGGTAATCCGGGCCCCAGAGTATTAGGCAGGGTATCGTGGGGCCCACAGCAAAGCAGTTCTAGCACACAGCACAGCGGGTAATCCGGGCCCCAGAGTATTGCCAGAGGGGCAGCAGATAATAGTCCTGACCTTTGAGGGGGGGGGGGGTCTCCTGCAGAGTGCTCAGCGGGGATGGCTGCGGAGGCCCGGTCCCCACCTAGACCTCCCAGCGGCTTGCGAGTCCAGCAGCGGCGGAACACAGAAGACGAACACAAGGAAGAGAGAGGACCGAGTCCCGCGCTAGCCTCTTTACGGCTAGCCAGGGTGCTTCCCGGTTGCCCCGGCAACATCCAGCCCAGCGCCGTGTTGCCGGGCAACGAGGCACGCCCCTTGACTCGGGCCGCGTTCTCGGGAGCGCGGCCTTTGTCATTTGACGAGTGCAAGTGCGGGAAACCCCTGTGCCGCACTTCACCTGCCGGACCCATGCGGCGTCAGAGTGACTGCCGCGGCCTAGACACCCCGGTGAGTTGCCCGCCCCTTTCCCGGCCGAGTGGTCGGGGAAGTGCGGGCTTCTCAGCGGGGGAACGCCTCTCTCTCCCCTCCGGCTGCTCCGGATGGGGAGAGATAGGATGGGGGAGTGGACAAAAGTCACACCTCTCATCCTGGACAGCCCGCTTCAAAGGGCCGTGGCTGTGGAACTATTTTGACCATTCTAGGTCAGGGGTCTCCAAACGTTCTAAACAAAAGGCCACTTTACTGTCCTTCAGACTTTAGGGGAGGGCAAACTGTGGCCAGTGGGAGAAAACAATGCATCATCATTGGTATTAAGCAGAGAAATAGTACCCCATCATCGATATTAGGTGGAGTAACAGTGCCTCATCACTTGTATTAAGCAGAGAAATAGTACCCAATCATCGATATTAGGTAGAGTAACAGTGCCTCATCATTGGTATTAAGCAGAGAAATAGTACCCCATCATCGATATTAGGTGGAGTAACAGTGCCTCATCATTGGTATTAAGCAGAGAAATAGTACCCCATCATCCATATTAGGTGGAGTAACAGTGCCTCATCATTGGCGTAGTGGGTGGAACAGTGTCCCATCATCATTGGCCCCATTATTGGTGTCAGTGGGAAGAACAGTGGAATAGTGTGCCATTGTTTTTGTCAGTAGGAGTGGTGTCTTATTAATGTCAGTCAGAGGAATAATGCCCCATTATTGGGGTCAGTGGGAAGAACAGTGCCCCAGCATTGGGGTCAGTGGAACAGTGCCCCATCATTGGGGGCACTGGGAGGAACAGTGCCCCATCGTTTGTGTCATTCGGAGGAACAGTGCCCCATCATTGGGGTCAGTGGGAGGAATAGTGCCCCATCATTGGGGGCACTGGGAGGAACAGTGCCCCATCCTTTGTGTCATTCAGAGGAACAGTGCCCCATCACTGGGGTCAGTGGGAAGAATCATGCCCCATCATCATTGGGGTCAGTGGAATAGTACCCCATCACTGGGGTCAGTGGGAGGAACAGTGCCTCATTATTGGTGTCAGTGGGAGGAATAGTACCCAATCACTGGGGTCAGGCAGAGGAATAGTGCCCCATCATTGGTGTTAGTGGGAGGAATAGTGCCTCATCGTTGGTGTCAGTGGGTGGAATAGTGTCCCATCATTTTTGTCAGTAGGAGTGGTGTCCCATTAATGTCAGTTGGAGGAATAATGCCCCATCATGGTGTCAGTGGGAGGAATAGTGCCCCATCATTGGTGTCAGTGTGGGAGGAATAGTGGCTCATCATTGGTGTCAGTGTGGGAGGAATAGTGGCTCATCATTGGTGTCCGTGGGGGAGGCATAGTGCCCCGTCATTGGTATCAGTGGGAGAAATGGTGCCTGATCATTGGTAGCAGTGGGAGGAATGGTGCGCCATCTTTGGTAGCAGTGGGAGGAATGGTGCGCCATCTTTGGTAGCAGTGGGAGGAATGGTGCCTCATCGATGGTAGCAGTAGGAGGAATGGTGCCCGATGGTTGGTAGCAATGGTGCCTGATGGTTGGTAGCAGTGGGAGGAATGGTGCCCCATCGTTGGTAGCAGTGGGAGGAAAGGTGCCCGATGGTTGGTAGCAGTGGGAGGAATAGTGCCCCATCGTTGGTAGCAGTGGGTTGAATGGTGCCCCATCATTGGTATCAGTGGGAGGAATGGTGCCCCATCGTTGTTAGCAGTGGGAGGAATGGTGCCCGATGGTTGGTAGCAGTGGGAGGAATGGAGCCCCATCGTTGGTATCAGTGGGAGGAATGGTGCCCCATGGTTGGTAGCAGTGGGAGGAATGGTGCCCGATGGTTGGTAGCAGTGGGAGGAATAGTGCCCCATCGTTGGTAGCAGTGGGAGGAATGGTGCCCCATTGTTGGTAGCAGTGGGAGGAATGGTGCCCGATGGTAGCAGTGGGAGGAATGGTGCCCCCATCGTTGGTAGCAGTGGGAGGAATGGAGCCCCATCGTTGGTATCAGTGGGAGGAATAGTGCCCCATCGTTGGTAGCAGTGGGAGGAATGGTGCCCGATGGTTGGTAGCAGTGGGAGGAATAGTGCCCCATCGTTGGTAGCAGTGGGAGGAATGGTGCCCCATTGTTGGTAGCAGTGGGAGGAATGGTGCCCGATGGTAGCAGTGGGAGGAATGGTGCCCCATCGTTGGTAGCAGTGGGAGGAATGGTGCCCCATCGTTGGTAGCAGTGGGAGGAATGGTGCCCGATGGTTGGTAGCAGTGGGAGGAATGGTGCCCCATCATTGGTAGCAGTGGGAGGAACGGTGCCCGATGGTTGGTAGCAGTGGGAGGAATGGTGCCCCATTTGGTAGCAGTGGGAGGAATGGTGCCCGATGGTTGGTAGCAGTGGGAGGAATGGTGCCCCATCGTTGGTAGCAGTGGGAGGATCGGTGCCCGATGGTTGGTAGCAGTGGGAGGAATGGTGCCCCAATCGTTGGTAGCAGTGGGAGGAATGGTGCTCCATCATTGGTAGCAGTGGGAGGAATGGTGCCTCATCATTGGTAGCAGTGGAGGAATGGTGCTCCATCATTGGTAGCAGTGGGAGGAATGGTGCCTCATCATTGGTAGCAGTGGAACGGTGCCCGATGGTTGGTAGCAGTGGGAGGAATGGTGCCCCATCGGTTGGTAGCAGTGGGAGGAATGGTGCCCCATCGTTGGTAGCAGTGGGAGGAATAGTGCCCCAACGTTAGTAGCAGTGGGAGGAATGGTGCCCCATCGTTGGCAACAGTGGGAGGAATGGTGTCCGAAAGGTTGGTAGCAGTGGGAGGAATGGTGCCTGATGGTTGGTAGCAGCGGGAGGAATGGTGCCTGATGGTTGGTAGCAGCGGGAGGAATGGTACCCAATCGTTGGTAGCAGTGGGAGGAATGGTGCCCCATCATTGGCAGCAATTGTGCCCCATCGCTCGTGTCAGTGAGAGAACTAGTGTCCTACGGTTGGTGTCAGGTGCAGGAACTATGCCCCACTATTGCTGAATGGAGGGGGGAATATTGCACCAAGAGCATGCTAAAAGCAAGCAAAGGGCCGCAGTTTGGAGAGCCCCGTTCTAGGTTAATCCATAGTTCTGGATGGCTAGGGAATGTCTTATGATTTGGAGTTCTACCCCTATGAACACACGCAATGTTTTTGTCTGTATCCTTTTCTGTCATTTTATTCTGTAGATACAAATTTTCTGCAGTGAAATAACACAGTGCGGCTTTGAATTTGTGCTACTTCAGTGCGATTTCAAAGCTGCAAATTGTAGAAATCATGCCCACAGAGATGGACGTGGTTCAACCATTTTGGCTCCAACCTCCATCTTGGCAAAGAATCCTCCATCTTGTACAAACATATCCCTCTCATTCTTCCTCTCTGTTCAGCCACAGTGACATATAGCCTGTGTGTTGGCAGTGTCACAGGAGGCCAGAGCCCAGCAGAGGGCTCCGAGCTATAAAACCCCCAAGGGAGCTGGGGCCTCGCTGTCCAAAGAACCTGTGCAATCTAGTACATCGTAAAAAGATAACCCAAGCCTTCCCGAGTTCAAAGACATTCCAGAGGAGTAGAGACTAGATAGATAACACTTTTAAAATCCATTTTTCCCCTATGTCTCATATCTTGGAATATGAGAGACTTCCATAAAAACCAGGTATATCTTCAGATTGCCCACAAGAAGACAAACAGTTTGATAGATCACACTCCCGAACTAGAATACCTAGGACAGCAGAAAATTACATCTCTTGAACCCTTCAAATATTTAGTTCATATTTCATATGTAACCGTTCCTCAGATGTGTCTGCATATTAATCTACCCACGGGTGGAATGGTACCTGTGCCTAGGAAAAGTTATGAGCCAAAATATGATTTAGGAGAGATTTTGGTTCTAGTTTGGGTCTCCGCCCAGACGATCCCTCCCTAAATGAGGCATTGGTCCTTGACTTTAGAGACAGCCCCTGCTGGGGGACTACAAAATAGGCTGTAAGAGAGGGAAGTTGAAGAATTCTCCCTTTTAACATCAGAACCAACTTGGGAGCCCTTTCGCTCTGAAACTTGATCTGGTTAACCCAAGGCTGCTTGGCAAGTACTTTAACCCTTTAACCTCCTGTTACCTCTTTGCTGTGCTTTTGTTCTCTCTCTCTATATATTGGTTACATCTTTTTTCTGTAAATATTTTTATTGCACCCTTTTGACCTTTTAGTAATAAATCCTTCTTACTGAAAGTGATGAACTGTCTCTAAAGCTCCTTTATGCAATTTACGAATCCCTGCCTCTAAAAGAGCGTTACTGTGTTCGTTTAACCCTCTGTATAACCGGTCTGCGGCGACCGTGCTATACAGACGATTATCTCAACCATCATAGTGTTATAGCTGATATTGCCGAGTTTCCTCTTTCTCTGTACAAAAAGAAGGTGGTGGCAGTGTGAAGGGTTAATTGCATAATTAACCTGACCCAGTAACAATCGCATTCAGGCTGCCGGTACATCGATTTGATGTCCAGTGAGCTGCAAAATCGTTGTGCAGGGTGCAGCTGGGACTGGCATTGTTACGCACGTTACATTGCAGTTTCAGATTGGCTAGTCCTTCGGTCACGAGTTTGGTGAGAAGGTCAGGGGTCTGACGCACGATCATCACACAGATCAGTGCCATTTGGACCTCCAATTTCATTGAAGCATGCAGCTTCATTTAACAAAAGTCAATGCAAGTCGCAATGAAATCCCAAATAGGGTGGAACTGTGAAAAATAAATGCATCCAAGGGCAAAATAGGTATCAGTAATTGGTAATGGCAAGAAATAGTATCAATACTCTTAGTCAGTTCCATAACATAGATTGAAATCTATGTTATGGAACTTCTCACTGTGACCAAGAGGAGGACAACCAAGATGGTAGTGATGAGAATCATCTATGTGGCATTTGTATTGGCTCCTTAGAATATCAGATGACACACGTGTGAAATTGGACCTTCTGGATTCTATCTCACTAATAAAAGCACCAATGGAGGGCAGGCTATGATCTGAGCCCAGCCCAAATCACCGATCATCGAAGAATTATCATTTCAAAAAAAGAAAGCCAAAACAAATATGGTAAATAAAGTGTATTTATGTTTACATGAGAAAACAAAAATAACGATCACACGCTAAAACATAGACCAAATCTAAATGAAACATTGTATATAGTAAAAAAAAACAAAATGATAGAAAATATATTTTAGGAATATTGGATGGATGGCAAATAAAACAAAATGTACAACAGGGATGAGAAGCAACCAACCAACCAACCAATTAAAAAAAAAAAAACAATTGGTGAAAATATTTGGATTGGGTGCTCTAGGTTAATGCATTTTTACAGCGAATCCGGTAGACTAGATACATACACACATTTTGTATTTAGAAACAAAACATTGGCATGTCCTGTAATACTGAAAAACAAGATCAGAAACAATATATGGCACAACTTGTTCCCCCATGTGTTAGATGGCATCTACCCACTTATACTGAAGTAAAATGATAGGATTGCCCGCTAGGGAATAGGTCCTGATTACTGAGGAGCAGCAATTCATCTCAAAATACGGGCGTCACTTGGAGAAATAAAGATTCAATAATAGATTTAAAGGCCAAAATTTCCAGTGTTAAATCACCAGTCCAACCAAAATTGATATTCAGCATTTGGTAGATGATGGGGATTTCTACTCCCTAAAATCATATCCTATATCTCAAAAAGGTGGTGATGTGTGGCCTTGAGGTCCTGGGTCTTCCCAAGGTAATTCCACATTTTTTAGGTCACAATTTACAACATCAAATGGCCAGTCCATCCAGAAGTGGTTTCATGGTTTAGATTGGTGCTGGCAAACCTAATAATTTCTTATATAACTGAAGATGGTGAGATCTCTAGGCTTGAGGTCCAGGGTCTACACACATTATGAGGCATCTCCAAGGACAGACTTTATGACTTCAGCTAGTT